TGGATAGGTGCGTACCATGGAGGGCGGGTGGGGTGGGGGGTGGGGTAGGGCAGTAAGCTTTCGTAGATGTTTGGAGGGGGTGGGGCAGGCTTATGTGGATAGTTGCGTAGGCGGGCGGGTTGGGGGGTGGGGGGTGGGGCAGTAAGGTTTCGTATATGGTTGCGCGGACCAATGCTTTCCTGTGGGTTGGGGGGGAGGGGGGTGGGGGTGGGGCAGGGGCATTAAGCTTATGTGGATAGTTGCGTACCATGGAGGGCGGGTGGGGTGTGGGGGGTGTTGGGGCGCTTGTGAGAAAATCCGTTCAGAGCAGTTTTCCTGGCATTGCCAAAGAGATACACGCACTGGAGAGAGATTCCAGTCCCGCAGTTTCCGAATACAGCCGTCGAGTTTCCGAATACGAGTTTCCGAATACAACCGTCGAGTTTCCGAATCCAAGCGGTCAGTTTCCGAATACAACCGTGGAGTTTCCGAATACAACCGTCTCAGTTTCCGAATACCAGTTTCCGAATACAACCGTGTAGTTTCCGAATACTAGTTTCCAAATACAACCGTGCAGTTTCCGAATACCACCCTTCCAGTTTCCGAATACAACCGCTTCAGTTTCCGAATACCAGTTTCCGAATACAACCGCGCAGTTTCCGAATCCCAGTTTCCGAATACAACCGTTCCAGTTTCCGAATACAACCGCCGAGTTTCCGAATACAACCGTGGAGTTTCCGAATACAACCGCCGAGTTCCCGAATACAACCGTCCAGTTTCCGAATACAACCGCGACCTGCCGGTGCTGGGTGGTGCCGGTGCTGTGAGCTGGCAGTGCACGTTGTGGAGACAGGGTGCCGGTGCTGGGTGGTGCTGGTGCTGTGAGCTGGCTGTGTGCGCGGTGGCAGGGTGCCGGTGCCGGTGCTGGGTGCTGGCTGTGCGCATCTGTGCACGCTTGGCTTTGCAGAGACATTGAGTCGGGGTGCCACTACTTACTTCCAGGGAAGCTGAGGGAATCAGCAATCAGAACATCATTTATTATCCAGTGTTTTCTCGAGATTCTTCTGTTCTTACACGTGACCTTTGGGTCCTTACAAGTTGTGTAGCTTGCATATGTGAGGGGGTCTGTTTTCGGATCTTTTTCCCCAGATAGCGACAGCTATGGGGTTCTGGACTTCACACAATAATGATCTGGCTGTGCGCGCTTTCGAGACAGGTGCTGGGTGCCGGTGCAGGGTGCTGGCTGTGCACGTGGTGGATGTGCACATACTTTTGCGCGCATCAACTTAAACAAACATGCTACAAAGTCAATGGATACTATATACTTGGCCTTGGGCCAGTGACACTTGCGGGCTTTGCTGTTTGCGCGCATACTTTTGTGCGCGTAAACTTATACGCACAAGATCATACGTTGTTATTCTATGTTATTCCCCAGATAGCCATAGCTATGGGTTCTTACTTCAAATAAGAATGGGCTGGCTTCGCACGCTTTCGAGAGGATGTCGGTGCCGGGTGAGCTGGCTGAGCACGCGTTTGAGACGGGCGGCGGCACTGGTCGGGTGCTGGTACCGCTGCCGGCGTTGTCAGCTGGCAATGCGCACTGTCGAGACAGGGTACCGGTGCTGGTGTCAGCTGGTTGTGCGCGCTGCATGTACATTGTACAGCCTTGTTCCAGCCAGCCGCATGTCATGCGATTCTGCCTAGTTATCTGGGTCTATGCTGGTGTTTTTTTGTTGGGGGGGTTGCCCGTTTGCTCATGTTTTCTTCTGGGAGGAGGTTTCCGGCACCGTCTTGAAGCCTGCGGATGTGGTTTGCTGTGGTGGCGTGGTAACCCCGGAAGCACCACTCCTCTCACTGGGCGGTCGACCGCCACCCCCCACCTTTATTAGCTTTGACATGGAGAACGTCAAGTCGGCTATGACATGGCCACTTCAGGGTCGATCCGAGTTCCCGCCCTCTGGGATTCGAGGTATTTTTGGGGCGAGAACCATCATGGCCAGTGTGCTCGCGATCCGAAAGGCTGGGGTGGGAGATGGTCGTGCCATCGTTCCAAAGGAGTGGGAAAACCCGTGCCCTCAAAAAGGTGACCAGATCATGGAAACCCACATAGCCCCCCTCCATATTGGGCACCTTCAGAACATGGAACTCCACATATACAGGTGAAAGTGGTCGACATCAACATTGCTTGAGGCTTGAAATGGGAAAACATACCTCAGTTCCATGCCTTTTGCGTACCTTTTTCAATCTTTGGACTTTGCTTTGGTCTGTGTTCCATGCCTTCCCTGGCCGGGTCGGCCGCAGCCGGACGGTGGCCCCTTGATCGCCTTGGGTTTGAACAGCTGTACCAGCTGTACCCTCTTTTTTCCGAAGAGGTCCTGGAAGATGGCCATTTTGAGGTTTAGCCTGCCATGGCGTCATTTCGTTGTAGGTGGTAGAGGAGTGAAGAGGTCGAGGTGGTGAAGAGGGCTTTCTGAGTTGATTTCTGCTTCCATCAAAAGGTGCGGACCTCTACAAGTCTCCATTTCACAAAGCTTCTTCCAGGCGATACCGCCCGGTCGCAGGCGCTGGCCAGTGAGGGTGCAGCGGCAATGTCGTTCGTGGTGGGAGGAGTTTACTATAGACTGTATATGATCAATGTGGAAGTGTGGGGAATGACAGTGACTTTTTTGAAAAAATATATAAAGCAAAGCACTGCCAATTCCTCCGATGTGACCCACTTGGTAGGACACCATGATCAGAATGTCTTTGGCCGAACATTTGGGCAGTACCCACCCAGTGCGTTCCATGGATTTTCCAGTCATTCCAATCCCCTGTTTGGAGGCCCAACTGCTGGTCCGAGCACCTGCTCGCGCTGCTGGTGGCCTCCAAAACGTGCACGCATGGCGGGTGGCTTGTGGCAGGTGCGCTACCGACCATCTTTTGGGTAGGTTTGAAGTACAAGTTTAATTTGGTTTCTTCTGTATATATATATATATATACATGCACATACATACATACATACATACATACATACATACATACAT